GTAAACAGTATTTTGGTTCGGCCGGACCTTGTTCCTGGTGTTTTGTTCATTATTTCGCTATTCACAGTAGCCACTAGTTCGCTTGTAAATCCAGTAATATACGCTTTCTTAAAACCGGATTTCAAAGTGGTCATTCGAAATTTCTGTCGAAAGAACTCTCAGACGAAAGTCGTGCCGAAGAAACCAAGTATTCCTCCCTCGTCTCGTTGGGCAAAAACAGAGAAAAAGACGAAGCAAAAAGACAAGACAATTGAAAAACACGAGAGCAATTCATCGTCAGAGTATGACACGAAGWTGTAAAAATACTCCGAGAGTTCGACGCAGGATTTCACGACCGTCTTACTTGTTTGTTGGTTCTCAAAGGCAACATGAAAAACGCTCGCTACGGAAACGTTTAAATTTCCTGTTAAGTAATCCACGAGTTGTAGTGATAACAGGAAGTTTAAGAGAACCACAACGGCAAAAGGAACGGTAACGTTGCTAAACAAAAGGTTTCTCACACACCGCTGGGAGCCATGCCAAGCCGAACCAGACAGCCTGACCTTTATTAACATAAGAACATAATTGTCTTACAATGACAAAAAAGTGGCTAGAAAATAATTTCACCTCAACTTAACACATTCTACAAGTACTTCACGGGTGGGGGGTGGGGCATGTCAGGCAATGGCGGATGGCAAAACAAAAACTGAAACCTTACACAAGCCACGTGACCTGAAACCCCCCGCACACCTGCAGCCAGACTCCCAGCCGTGAGTGAGAACAACGTTTTCCGCTTGTTTCGTTCCTCAGCCAACGGAAAACCGCACTTATCACACACTGCTGGGAGCCATGCCAAGCCGAACCACACAAATGTATAACGCAAAGAGCGCAGAATATAGGAAAACTCAACTCATAACATACTTTCTGCACGCACAAAAAGCTATTTCGATGGCAAAAGTGGACATGTAATGATCGAAATAGAGTTCCTTGAATGTCTAGTAACTAAATACGAGAAACAAGCTGTTGGCATAAACAACATAGAATCAAAGGCAAAGGCAATGTCAACGTGCATTCTTAATTAACTTTGAACAAGTAGAAGCGCGTCTAAGGACTCATTATTTATGTAAATTGTTCCTAGCTCTCTCACTTCGCCAGCTGTTGGCATAAACAAACAGAATTAAAAAAAACAATGCCAAAGTCATCCTAAATTGACTTCGTAACAAGTAGAAGCGAGTCTAAAGACTCCTTTACGTAATTGTTCCGAGCCCTTTCACTTCTCCGACCTCCATGTCTCTGGAAGAGTCTGTCTGGCACACCGAGAGCTGCTGCCGCAGAAGTTCCTCCTGAACACAGGCTATGGATTCCAAACTTAGTGGGGTCCTGACCTTCCTTGCCAAGCTCCTCCTTGATCAGCTCCTTTGCCCGACTGTAAGACATACAGCCTCTTTCCGCAGACGAACTCCTCTCTTGGTATGCCACACGCGTCGAAATAACGGAGAGCCTTTGGAGTGGTTTGCAATTCTCAAGAATTTCTCAATGATTTTGACTGGGCAAGAGTACTGCAACGGGCTACAAAAACCCATGACCCCTCGCGGAACTGATCATTCTTCCGTTTTTCCAGAAAAATAGCTACATGGGAATCAGCAAAATAAAAACTGTCTACTGAGAAATGGCGCAAGTCATCCCATCGAAGAAAACCAAAGAAACCCAGGGAAAACAAGGCTGCCCGCTGGAGGTCACCAAGGTTACCCTTCTCAAGGCGACCGATCACTTTCCGCACCAGAACAGAAGACAATGGCTCTTTACGTTCAGCTGGTCTGGCAAGAATTCGCCTGGCAGCATCAACCACTTGTTTCACTACCGGATACTTACTCGGCTCCTGATAACCACTCTTTTTATGAACCCAACTCACACCGTACACTGCAGAATTCACCGACGACACTGGCCGGGTCTGTTGAATGAGAGATACAAGCAGCATCATGACGACTGGCCCATGACTTCCAAGATTTATAAGCGCGCAGATAAGTCGCAACTGTTGTAGCAGCGCGATCACGAACCAATACAGCTGGTAATACCTTTGCTAGCTGTTGCAATTCTGGATGGTCAAAACGATCTGCACGAAATTCAGCTAGAAAGGTGACCTCCTCCACCAAGGGTTGTGCAGCTGCAACACAATGATAAATGCCATAAGAGCAGAAACAAATCCAGTAAGCACACATACCATAAAAGAGGAGCAGATCCGCATGCATGTACACACACTAACACTTGGGTCCATAACAGAAGGATTAAGGAAGTCATAACAGCTTGGAGCCCATAACAGGCCTTAGGAGCCAAAACAGCTGATAATTAAGCCATAACAACTGGGTAAAAACAAACAGGTGCCCATAACAAGCTTGTAACTCAAACAACAGCAGACCTGATGACGTGCAT